TGGTAGAAAAGTGAGAACAAAAACTACAGCCCTAGAAGACTCATCGTTTTTAACCAGTTAGGCCATGAGTCTTTGAACTCAGGAACTGAGGGCCTCTGTCTGTGATGGGTATGGCAATAGCCACATATGAGTTAGGCATTGAGAGGGCAGGGCAGTCACAGGTTAAGAAAGCCAGGAAGCTATTGCTGTACATGTGTGGGGCTCCTGCGCTCCTGCACGGCAGCAGCTAAGAGGCCGAGAAGGAGTGAGAATATTGGCGGTGGAGGGAGGGAAGGGACATTTAAAGGCTGAGCTTTAGATTACTAAAGAAGAGCGCTAAAGAATGTTGAGCCTCTCATCACTAAGAGTACCTAGACAAAACATGAATGAAAAACAGTATACAACAATCTTCCCAATTCACTGGGCTGAGCCCAAAAGTCTCACCATGTGACCTTGATCTCCCCATGCAGTAACCAGGGAGTACAATGTAAAGTTCATCACTATATATTTATTTTTGCATTAATTCTACCAGAAAGAATATATAGGTAAGTTTAGTAAAGCATAAAATCAGAGGACAAGGGCAAAAGGGAGAACAAAATGTGTTATACAGTGTTCTAATTCTCAGAAAGCAAAAAAGTAAATATTTTTATGGGCAGAAATATTTTTTTGGCACTAATCTACAAAAAAATTCTCATGAAGGACTTTTAAATAGGGAACATAACATAATGCAATGGACAGCATTTGCATCAAGTTTTACAGCAAACCCATTAAGTCTACTTTATAAGACCAATGTGTCCTCATAAGCTGATGATTAGAGACATCCGTCAAACATGAAATGTGATGGGCAGCAATTATGGATGTCAACAATACCAGCCCAATCCTCCAACCAATTCCCTCATCTAAATAATCAGAGAAACTAAAACATTTCCAGCTCTGAACCAGAATTCTTTACCTGTCCCATAAATAAGCTTTCGGAGGTTTGGAGCTGCTTGCTGCTGCCTCAGAAAGGCCTCAGCTGCCTTTCTGGAAAGGTCTTCCTTCCACTTGAGGGCACCTGAAACGACCAAAGCCAACCTTCAGTTAGGCTTGTTTACATGTCTCCCCTCCCTCAAGATCCATCCACAATGCAGCATTTCAACAGTTAACAAAATCACAGAATCAACAGACCCCCAAATGGAGACATTCCATTGGGTACCATTTCGAGAGCCAAGTTGATAGCAGCAACCAACTAAATTTAAGTCACCTGAGGTTTCTTTGGAATCATTATTTTCTTCCTTGTAATCTTCTTCCTCTTTGAGTAAATCTTCTATATCACTGGTCTCATCAATTAAGTTCCTTGGCCCCAGTTTCTGACCACTGCTCACTTGAGAAGGCTTTGAAAGCTTTTTTCTAACAGCCTCTTCATTTTCTGAGTCCTCTTCCTCTGCACCGAGTGAGGAGCTTTCTTCAGATTCATCTTCAGATGCAAACGCCTCTTCAGCTGTGCAATGCCCAGAATCGGAAGTGGGGAGAGCTGCTTTCTTCATCAGCAAAGACTTCTCCAGATTCACACGGTCACTCTGGTGATTAGCTGGCGACAGCCCTGCTTTACTACCTTCTCCAACAGCCTTTGATCCTGAAATGCCCCCCTCTCCTGCAGTGCAGTCCTCTTCTTCACTGCTTTCATCAGCTTCCTCTGCTTCCCCTTCTTCCGCTGAGCTCCTCTCAAGGTCATCATCACTGTCAGCAAATGCTGGCAAATCCATTTCACTGTCTTCTTCCAACTCTTCAAGTTTCCGTCGTTTGACGCCCTTACCAGCCATATACTGATCAGTCATCTCAGCATTTTCCTCCTCTTCTGCTTCCTCATCACTAGAGCCGTTTTCCAACTCGTCATCTTCGGATATTTCATCATTTTCTTCATCATCACTATCTCCAGATTCATCTTCATCTCCAAAAATGGCTTTCCGACGCATTCGCCCAGTTTTTAAGTCCATTTGTTTTTCCTCCTTTGGCATCAACAGCCTGTATTACCAAGGAAATACAAAATAATTCAATTTGTACATTAATCAGCTAATCTACAAATGGCAATACAGTCAATGAAAAATACAAAGAAACAGAAAATGTCAAGGAATTGTTTAAGATGACATAGCATAGGGAAAAAATGATCTGATAAACATTGGAAGAATTAATAAGCAAACTCGGACATGGTTCCCTAACACCACACTTCAAAAAAACTTAGAGGAGAGAATAAAGGAAAATAAGCCTTAAAAATAAAAATCCTAATTTAGAAAAAAAAATTGCTCAAAAGGGAAGCTTAGTTGTTTTGTAGATTTTTTGAAAAGTGATTAATTTCTAAGCTAAAATAACATGATCCTTAAGAGCAATGGCTGAGTCCAGGCCCAAGGCAGAAAGAGGGCAAAATGAGCCTGGATCCTCTTGTTCTGTCAGAAAGTAAGAAATGCTCAAAGACTAACAGAGACAGTTGAAAGACACAGGAGACAGGCTGAGGCTCCTGGGCCAAATCTGGGACAGCATAGGCATCAGGAAGAATAATGATAGTGATGGAAAATAACCCATGGAACAAAACGCAAGTGCATTAGTCAGCAGTGATACGGAAATAAAGGGGAGAAGTGAAAGCTCCTTTGTTAAAAATGCCAGCTAACAAATGTAGGAGGAATGACAAGAGGAAAGAACATCCATTTTAAGTCACCAGTTTCATATCTGATAGAGAGAATCATCAGGAGGCTAAAATCACAGATAAAGAAAACTGTATAAAGCATATTTAAAATGTAAAGATATATAAAATTATGAAAACATAAATTTGAAAAAAACTAAAATCACACCAAAAGAGATGGATAAGTTAGAATATAGCAATAATAGGCCAGGCAGTAGTGCCTCCACATCTGTAATCCCGGACTTTGGGAGGCTAGCAAGAGGATTGCTTGAGCCCAGGAGTTCAAGACCAGCCTGGGAAACACAGTGAGACCTAATCTCTAGAAAAAAAAAAATTAGCTGGGAGTGGTGGCGCACTCCTGTAGCCAGCTACTTGGGGGGCTGAAGCGGGAGGACCACTTGAGCCTGGGATTCTAAGGCTGAAGTGAGCCCAGATCATACCACTGCACTCTAGCCTGGGAGACAAAGCAAGACTTGTCACACACACAAAAAAGGAATACCAAATAAAAAAATGGTGACTACATAAGACTGTAAGAAAAAGGAAATGCTCAGAATATAGAAATAAAATTATGTATTTTAACTGTAACTATAGTAGAATAGAGTATTCTTGTAGATAAAGATGACTAGAAGGATATACAAAAATGAAAATCGCTAGTAACTTCATTATAAAGGAGTGATCTTTCGGCGAACACTTCGTATCTGTCAGGCATTCTGCTAGGTAGTTTATGCACATTGTAACAAATTACAAACTAGATAATCTCAAAAATTTCAGCTAAATTTTACTGGGAGTCATAAATCAATCCAACAAAACCAATGTTTGCAAACATCGACTATGTATAAAGGTATACAAATCCCAAACCCAGACTGAAAAATAATTCACATAAAGCCATACGTCCATGGAAACCTACCCACGGGAGATAATACAGCATAATGTAAATAAAACTTTCAGAGACAAGGCATTGGCTTCTGGACAGCCAAAACTCCTTGACTCTGCTCTAGTGTTTTGGCCACCAAAAGAAAAGCCAAGTGGCCTCACGGTCTCTTAAAAAACAAAAGGCAACCTATGGAAGATGGCGTGGTATTGAGGAATATTTGGGGTCTGTTGAAAAATGCATCCTGTATTTATTTCAAGAAAAGACTCCCCTGTAATGTCAGGTAAGTGAAGAGCCCTCAGAGACATGCACACACAAAGAAAAACAAAACAACATAGAATGAATCCCACCAAAATGTGTTATGATGGCTGAATTATGGGTGATATGATCTTCTGTAATACATCTTTTTATTAAAAATAGAAAAAAAGCAGACTTACCCTTGATTATCTATATCTTCTGACCCAAGTGGCTTGGAATCAGAAAACAGTGTCACTCCACTTGAAGCCATCTTGGCATCAATGGTGGAGTGGGTAGAGATGAGACTCTGGACCAGCTCATGGGTGGGCCCCACCTCGTCCTGTCAAGACCACCAAGAAAGGGCATGTGAGAAAAGCACAAAGATCCTGGAGAGACACTGGTTTCATTCAGTTTCTCAAAATTATCTTAGACACATTTCCTAAGAACCTTTCTTAATGCCTCAAAAAGCAGAGAAGAAAATCCTTACAACAAAGCTTGAAATGGATCCCCATCTCCATTAAACTTTTCCAAAGTTCAGGGAGTATATAACCTGATAACCTAAACACCTAGCTAGAAAAACCTCAGCTCCAATGCTACAACAATGCTAGCTCTTCTAACATTTTAAAATAACCCTAATTTTAACCCAATAAAATTCCACTTCAGAACTAAGAAATAAATATTTGAAATCCACTTTAAAATACAGAATGAGGAGACCATTGTGAATGAGAAAAAGACCAATGAGAGCTGGCAAGCACACTGATTTTGTAGAAACGGGGATGGGCCATGCAGGCACCACATGGCAGCAGGGCCCGCGCTGGGCCATGATCAAGGAGGAATGGAGGACAGGACTCTTCTGCTTGGTACAATGAAAAAAAAAGTATTTTTTTTATCCTATATATTTACAATATGCATTTGGGCCTTTATTATAAGTACAAGAGAAAAATCTTCAATAAATAAAAGCTGACTACATTATTTTTTGATTAAAAAATAGACTCGGAAAAGAATAATGAGGAGTTCAGAGAAATGACGCCCATCTCACCGATACCTGAAAACCGTGGCTGCACCAAGGTCAACATAGACAGCGTCTTTGTCATACAGCACACCCCCAACTCCAGAAAGAGGCGCATAAAACCAGCTTCTCCTTCTCATTTAAACAGCGCTTCTTTTGTTGTTCAGGAAGAGCACAAGGGTCTGGGAGGAAACTGATGTCACTCACAGCAAAATCTCCTACCCCTGGAAGACAGGATCCAAAAGCAAGCTTCAGCTGACAAGAAGTCAGAAGTATCTACTGTTGACTGGGGGGTTAAAAACGAGCCATAGTCCAAGGGCTTAACCCATGACACTAAAGAAGGGCATTGTGCCACACTGGAACAGTGGCCCTCTAGCTACAAGACAAGAGGTCAGAGAAGAGGGGATTTGATAACACCTTTGCAGGCCTACACACATCTGGGTTACTTTAAAAACCTCCAGCGAGGCCATCTTCCCTTGTTTGGTCATTTTTCAGTTTTCCTGAGAAATGAAGTCATCCCAAGAATCCTATGTGTAATTCTAGTATGTTCTACAACAAGAGAATACCTGGCATGTGAATTTGGCTTTTATTTTTCAAGTGTGCTCCTCTTAAATAACCATAAAGCGACACCTTCCGGTCACATTTGATGTTTGTTCGGATATCCTCTGGGTTTGTCAAATCTTCCATCCTAGAAAAATAAACTCAATCATGCAGCAGAAATGAATGCCAAAGTTCCTATACCTCCTTTCAGGTGTCAATGACTCATCACACTATTGTCCACTAAGCACATCATTTAGAAAACTAGAAAATGCAGAAATAAAGAAGCACCATTCCCCATCCACCAGAGGAAAAGGGGCAGGCACACAACTGTGTCTCTAGGCTGAAAGTGACATTTTCATTCCAGAAGACACCAGACAGGGAGATGATGTCCACCTGGGGTCAGGGAAGAGTGAAGAACATATTCAGAAAATCCCTTGCTGGAAGAGAGTGAGCCTGTGCTTTGGGATTTTTACTGTGGCTTGGATTCTGGCAGGTGGAAAAAGGGTATCCCAGGCTGAGAAAAACCACAGCACAAAGAAGAGCACAAAGGAAGGAAACTGAAGGCACACACGAAGGACTCAAGCACCCGGGCACGAAGGCAGCATCACTCAAAACTGAGGCTGAACATAGGATGGGGCCACATTCTGTAGCCTTAAATGCTTCCAAGTCCTCCCATTTTCCTAAACATCTCATAATTAATTTACTCCCAAAGGCACAGAATCTTTGAGCAATGACATAAGTAGACATTTTCCATCAACTACACTTCTATCCCCACTATTCAAACAGGCACAAAATAAATCCTATCACTGTTCTTTTTCTAGCCTTTTTAGCTTTGAAATATATGGCCCAGGAAGAAAAAGTTTACAGTCACTTTTTACCTGTCTGCCAGGACATAAGGGTGAGAAGTTTGCCATGTGAGAGGCCTAAACTTCATAACTGTAATAAAACGGCCCAGATTGTGCATTTCTTGGTTTTGATATTCTCCATGCACCATTCCAGAAAGGTAGAACAGCTTGGCACCCTAAACATTAGAGCAAAATTAAAAATTAAATTTCAATTAAATTCTCATCAATACTGCAACAAAATAAAAGTTCTAAACAAGAAGCAATCCTAAGAAGGGAGACTTCCAGCAAAGCCACTGTCCTGAGGCTTCCAGAGCCTTGCTGGCTTCTTTCAGGACTTATTAGAACCCCACAGAGGCAGACTGCTCTGCAGTTGAGCCGGGGCATCCATCTAAGTATGGTGAGGAGAGGGAGGTGAGGCGTCTGAGCACAGAAATGGTTCTGTGGCCGATGGACCAGAACAGTATAGAAAGGAAGGGGCAGTGCCTGGTCCTGTAACTAGGAGAAATTTCTGATGTACTCTATATAAAGTCCCGACCCCAAAACAGCCAGACACTGCCTGGCGCAGCAGGTACAGAGACAAATGAGATACACCAAGAAGCCCAGAACAAGCACTCTCTTGAGGGAAACCTTCCAGAAGACTGAACACCACACACAAAGGAATTCAGCAGGCCAGAGACTGAACACATACACAAAGGAATTCAGCAGGCCAGAGACTGAACACACACACAAAGGAATTCAGCAGGCCAGAGACTGTGAACACACACACACAAAAGAATTCAGCAGGCCAGAGGTTGAACACACACACAAAGGAATTCAGCAGGCCATAGAGTGTGAACACACACACACAAAGGAATTCAGGAGGCCAGGGACTGTGAACATACACAAACGGAATTCAGGAGGCGAATCCTAGAGATACGTTTAGTAATGTCTCTTCAGTATTTTTACTTATTTTTTTGAGACAAGAGTCTCACTCTGTCACCCAGGCTGAAGTGCAGTGGCGTGATCTCAGCTCACTGCACCCTCTGCCTCCTAGGTTCAAGCAATTCTCACTTCTCAGCCTCCTGAGTAGCCGGGATTACAGGCACGCACCACCACACCCCGGTTAATTTTTGCATTTTAGTACAGATGGGGCTTGGTCATGTTGCCCTGAGCTCAAAACTCTAGGCTCAAGTGATCCGACCGCCTCTGCCTTGCAAAGTGCTGGGATTACAAGTGTTAGCCACTGCGCCCGGCCTCTTCAGTCTATTTTAAAAGGATTATACTGCTAGTATCCAACAATCATTTCTCCTCTTACCGGGTAAACTTCTGTCCCAGAACCTGTGTTTTAATCGCTTCTTTGTCTTCTTCAGTTGCTTATTATGCTTGAAGGAGTCGAGGTGGGTGAGAACTCCCATAATTTTAGGAAAGCCATGTACTTGACAGATGTTTAGAAACTCAAATGTTTCCATTTCGAACCCAAAGCTGGCATCTATAAGCATCAGTACCTAAAACAGAACACATCATTTTTCAAAGAAACTACCAAAACAGACCACTTACACTAGGGGTTGGCAACTGGCCACGGGGCAAAATCCCGCCCATTACCTGTGTTTGTAACTAAAGTTTTATTGGAACATAGCCACATTAATTCATTTACATTTGCTATGGCTGCCTGTGCACTACAACTGCAGAGCTAAGTAGCTGTAAAAGATATGATCCACAAAGCCAAAAATATTTACTATCTGGCCCTCAACAGGAAAAGTCGCACTCCAGGACTAAATCAAATAACTACATAGGCATCACCCAGACAGAGAAACCACCACCCTCTGACTTGCTCTAAAAGCCAACCATAAGACATGTCCACTAGGATGCAAACTTCCATTATAAGAATTTTAATGTATGAGAAGTAACTCAGAAAGGTGGGTCTCAACCTGGCCCTTACCTAAGAAATTCTAATTTAAAGAAAAAGTTTTCTGGTAAGGTATTTTTAAGGCCAAATAACAGGTCTCTGACATCCAACAGAATGGAAGAAAGTGATAATCAATGCAAATGATATTAAATATGTAACAGAAAACCAATCTCTTCTTTCAATCTCCTCATAGAAAAAAAATATCTGTTTTTTGCTGAGAAGTACGCAGTGGGAAACGCTCTATCTTATATATTACTTAATTTGGATAACTCCAATTGTTATAAGAAATTTTTTTTTAAATAGCCTGCCATTTAGAATTAGGTCAAAAAAAACAGTAAGGATTATGATGAATGGTAGTCTATAAGAAATATAAGCAGATGAGACCAATTTTTAACTTTTAAGATGCTTCAAAGATGCAAAATAATTTCAGAATTGATTCCTGGAAACTTCTAGTTTACAGTATTAAAAATATTTCTGTTCTTATCTTTGCATAGATAACTAAAATTAACAACAAAGAAAAATGGAAACAGAAATGCCCATCTTTGATTAAACTAGGCAACACTCAAAATCCGAAACCAACAGAATATATGAAGGTGGCTTGTGAGAAAGCACAGCTGCCACTGCATACTGAGGACAGCAAGCACAGCGTTCCAGCAACACTGACCAGCTCAAAGGACAGGCAGAATATCCTCACACTACATTTAATGTCACAGAGTTGCCGCCGTGGCAAGCAGCTGGTTGTAGGTCAGGAAGAACGGAGAACAAACAGTCCTCAGCTGCCAGTCATTTGTCATCTAAGCCAGTGTTACTCCCCTAATCCACACACGCACGTACACACCCCAAATTCATGTATTGTGGTGTGCCTTTGCTGTACACAGGAGGCTTTGAACAACCCACAGCAGAGCAATCAACATAAGGCTAGGCTAAATATAATCATGGTGCCTCCATAAATGGAATATTATATATAAAGGAGGCAGAGTTACAGTACTTATTATATTACCTCCAAGATTACATATATATGAAAAAAGCAAAGCCATAGGAACAGTGTGTAAATAAGCTACCAATTTGTGTTTTAAAGGTGGTATGCGTGTTTATATACATGCTAGACTAGGATACGCTGTGATCTGCATCTGCGGATCTGAATGACCATCCGGTTTACACCCAAGGGAAAAGAAAAATGCTTCCATTGTGCGATTCCTGCCATTACAGTTAGAGTACTTACCAAATGTGTGTGTTCCCTTTTGAAAAATCTTTAAAAGATTTACGTAATAGGCATCTCTCTCAATGATGGTTAAGAGGCTGGGAAGGGGAGCAGGGAGGGGGGACAAAGAGGGAAAGGTTAACAGGTACAAAAATACAGTTAGACAGAATAAATTCTGGTGTCCAACAGCACAATAGGGTGGACTATAATTTATTATATAACTCAGAATAACTACAAGAATGAAATGAAATGTTCCTAACACAAATAAATGATAAATGTTTGAGGTGATGGATATCCTTATTACCCTGATTTGATCATCACACATTGTATGCTTCTATCAAATACCACATGTACCCCATAAATATGTATAACTATTATGTATCCATAATAATTAAAAATAAAATTAAAACATCTCTTAATACATGTCTTTAATATTAGAAACTTGCTACATTTTACATAAAAGAGAAACAAATGACTTCTATGAACTATTTTGATCATTTCAAGTACATAAGATTTAGTAAGCTTACACTACATTAATAACACTTAT